CAATCTCTATATTTTCCAAATACTGCGTCTTATAGTGAAGCAAGATGCAAAAGTGTATTTTGAGTTCTTATTATGCAACTATACAAAGGGAATGGTTTGAGCATGGAGCAAGGCAGAACACGATCAGTTACAAAGTGCAGATGGAGATTCTGGCCTTAGTTTTCGTGGCCAGTGCAAGTCTAGTGTAAGGCGAGACTACTTCAAAACATGATAAAAGCCTCTTTAATGATTGATGCCTTGAATCAATAAGTAGGGAGACGATATATCTTAGGATGCATTGGGACACATCATCAGCGATGTGCCTGAGATCATCAGGGGTTTGGGGTCTTCCAACATCATACCCCCTCCCTCAGGTGATCCATCCATGGTTGATCAGACCCCAGCTTGTGTCCCAGTAGCATTGGCCCGCAGACTGCTCCTCCTGATCCAGAGCCATCTAGAGGCTCTCTCTGCTGCCTCCATGGTGGCCTTGATGGCCTTCTTTGTCTCTGCATCTGTGATGCCAAGTAGACTGAGTACCTTGCACAATGGCCGGCCAGCAAAGCCCCGACACCCCACTTGGGTGCACCCCCCAATGGGCTCACAGCGTGCGTGCCTTCCAGGCTCCTTTTTGGCATTGCTCGAATAGCTCCCACTACTTTGACCGCTTCTGCTCATTTACCTCCTCTATGCAATCCTCACAAGTTACTGTCAGTTCTATCAATAGCACCTGCCTTGAAGATACTGACGTAAGCACGATGTCTGGCCTCAATGAATCAAAATGGAAATCATGATATCGCTCATATAAACATTCTGTCCTATGCGAGATATTTAGCCGGGTTGAACCAACCATTTGTCAATTTAAGAAAAAAAAAAGAATATCCACATTATAAACATGTGTATGAAGATTGTCATTCTTGGAGTGAAACTTTTTTGTCAAGATAAGATAACCATGTGCCAATCCTCAATTAGTGTGCAGTGGTGAAGGCTGACAAAGCAACTTGCAGCTCAACCTGGATGTACTATGGAGTAAAGTGGAATGGGAGTGTGTGTGTGTGTGTGTGTGTGTGTGTGGGGGGGGGGGTTGACCTAAGCGAGGAAAATGTGAGTTAAAAATTGCCACGAAGGTGACTCAGTATAATTTTCTCATGAAGTGTGTGTGCAGGGAAGAGTTGGAGGATGCGAAAAGCTGCAGCCAAACAAAACAAAGCAATAATTCAAATGTGTTGGCCCAGTTATTCCTCAAACTTTTTTTCTGTTCTCATAAAAAAAGCAAAGCTTTTGTCAGGAACAAAAACAGCATGGGATATGGCAAATTGGCACTTATTATCATGAAGATTGATATATTTCTTGGGCACTACCAACAAAAATGTTTTCAGAAATTATTTTTCAATATTAATTTTAAGTAAGTCATAAAGGTGGAGTACCAATGCTAACTTTCACAAATATTCTACGACTAACAAACGCTGTTATTGTTGTGCTTCATCACCAAATTAAATTAGTCAAGCTTTCAATTCAGAACTTGTGAACTGGGGAAAATGGGAGGTGTTTGTCAGCATGCAATAAACATGACAAACTGGCCTTAGTATACTTGTGACTGTGCTTTGGTACTTCATGATGTCAGTTGCTTTGGTCAATTGTTTATCACAGGCCTGGCGTCTTTGAGTATTTATGATCTGGTTCCTCAGTGACACGTCATCAGAATGTCTACTTTACTCCCATGCCTCTTTGTCCGGCGCTCTCCACTGCTGTACCCAGCCCTGTTCTTCGGTGTTTCTTTATTTGTGCTGTTCACCATCTGTTGAGCGATTTTGGTTTTTACTTTTATGTATAAAGACTGATATTTGACACTTCTGCATTCTGTCTGCTTTTGGGTCCATATTCTGCTCCTCATATCACAGTACATTCTGGAATCAGCCCTGAGGAATATCTAGATTTGCCATCCTGGAGCTAACATCTTCTATGGGTCAAGTAATCCCACAATTCCCTCACCTCCTCATTCACGGGCATGGCTCCCTTTATGGTCGCCTATGGGTATCAACTGCAACTATTCCCTTCCCAGAAGCAAGAGGTCACTGTTTTCTAGATCCGCGGCCATCTCCCCCATTGCCGTGCTGTCTGGAGGTATGCCTGACCTTCCCTGTAGCCCACAGCCCAACGCAACCGTCCGCTGGGCAATAGGCAATGGACTCCAATAATTTGGCAGTGACCTTCCTCTCCAATTACCCCTAAGCTCCGCCCCAGGATAATTGGACCATTGAAAATATATAGAGTCATTAACCCTTCTGGTATCCGTCTAAACCTCCCAGCCTCCCTCCAGATTCGTCCCACTTTGTCCTTCACCTGAAGCCGGTCTCCTCTAGCCCCCTCAGCCCTCCCTCCAAACTCTTTCCTCCACCCCTGCTCATCACCCTGCCTACGCTGTCTTGAAGGTTTTCGATGTACGTCGCCATGGTTGGGGTTTTCAATATTTTGTTGACTAGGAGGGTTACGGCCCCGAGGAACATTCCTGGGTCTCTCGTCCTCGATCTTTCCCTACTCCAGAGTTTTTTTTTTTTTGCGAGTTCCCTCACTAGCTTGGTAGGGCCGGTACCGGGCGGTGCCCCATTAGTGGGGATACTGTTCTGCTTTGGTCCGTGGTCAGTTGCTATGACCCTTTATTTTGTCACAGGGTTGGGTGTGGCCTGGCGTCTTCCAGTATTTAAGCTGTGGTTCCTCAGTGACACGTCGCTCAAACGTCGAGTATCCTCCCATGCCTCTTCATTGGCACTTTACCAATGCTGCATCCAGCCCTGTTATTTTTTGTCATTTTGCCGCCGGTGCCATTCACCGCCTGTTGGGTGATTTTGATTTGTACTTTTCTATATGAAGACTTCAACTTGGCCACTTCCACATCTGAATTCTATGTCTCATGTCACAACACCTCAAATAATATATGCAGGCCATAATACAACTCCAAAAAGACTATCTGCATCTCACACGTCACGTGTGTACGTGCATGTGTGTGCGTGCGTGTGTGTGTGTGTGTGTGTGTGTGTGTGTGTGTGTGTGTGTGTGTGTTTTCAAAATAATCAGTTCGCGTTCATTTTGAAAGGTGCAGTCTCAGAACATACTGTTTTTGTTACTGTACGTGTTTTTAGACTAAATCAATATCCGCTCGAGCTGCATGCAAGTGGGCACTGCCAAAACATATTTTATCTGGAATTCTACATGTTCGAGATGTTTAGAAATAGAATGGAATGTACGCTCACCAATGCAGGTCAGACCTCAGAAAATTCCCAGTGGCCGAGTAAAGTGTAATGCTGAAGCCGCAATACAAATAAACATTGATAGAAAGCTAAATATTTCAGAGAGTCAGAGCTTTGTAAACACTGAGTGTCAGCGAGTTGTTTAATGTTGGGCTTAAAACAAACACGTCAAATATACTCCACTAGAATCCTTTGTATAGTGAAATAATAGTCAATTCTGACGAATGTTCAAGATTCAAATTCAAAAGAGCAAGACAGCAAAGAACTTAAAAAGAATCTGACCGCATTAGTCAAAGGTCAGCAACACATGCATGCAAGGATTCATGTTTCACCTTCCGCTTCGCTCATTGTCTGGGTATTTCCTTTGTTTTTGACTCGCTTACTGGCCGTAGAACTGAGGTTAGCACCACTTAGGAAGGCTCCTCAACATGCTATTGGAGCAAACGAATCATCCAATCGCACCAAACCTCCAATTGTATGTAATCTTTTCACCACCATTACGCATCAGTGTGCCTGGGTGTGTCACCAGTATATCGCTTCCAGATGATCACGCAATGTGCATGCAATGTGGCATGGGCTCCAGATGGGTTTTATAATAGGAACGCTGAATCAGACTTTTCACCACTCGGCTTGACTTCAAGACATCAAGACATGTTAGGACACCATGACATCAACTTCTGCAAATTGCAGATTGATGTATTTAGTCATGCCATTCATATAAAAATACATCCCACTGTGGCAAACAAAGTATAATCATTCACAAAAGAAGAATACTGTAGTAGCATGAACATGAGAAGCCCAAGATCCGGTCCTTGCTCACTTATCTGAGCACTGCAGTTTTGTCATAACTTTGGAATGTGCATTCATGAGGCTTACACAGTGAACAGAAAGATAACACTTGAGTTTAGCGCTAATTGCTTCCATGCTTAGTGTCCAGCACCGAAATCAGCAGGACCTTCAAGCGCCCACCCGGCCAACTTTGACAGAAGTGCCAGCACCTAACAATTACCCATTTACTTTCCTTGACACACTCTCACTAAAAGATGTGTAAAAGACTGTTATTAAACCAGAGAGCCCGAGTGTGCTATTGACCTCAAGTGTGCAGTGCTGTTTAAATTTCCTCATCACTGGCCAAACCAATGGAAATGTTTACTTAAGTTACAACAAAGTGGCCACCCAGTTCAGGTCTGATTCTTCTCAATACCTTTAACAGTATTTTTTTGTTTCTAATCTTATTACTGTTATTTCCATACTGCTGTTAATGACCCAATTCTTACTCAAATTACCTTTGTTGAGTCTTCAAATTTGTCTGCATTCTTTATAGAAGGTGTTTTAGGCCATAATGAATGAAATGTGAATTCAGATTTGTGAGTGACAGTAGAAGGAATTAAAACGATGTATTATATTTAATACGTTTAGTCGTATTTTTTAATACTTGGATGAAAATCCTTTGCACTCAATGAACATGTTAAATTCTGAGCAGGTTAAATGAAGCTAGCTACAAGCTCCTGGTTGCAATGTTCATGAACCTTAAATACTTTTCCATAATTGTAAATTGTAATCACACACATTGTTCAAACCCCTATTCCATTGAAGTTACGTGTAGAGTATTGAATTTAATGTTTTCATTTACGTTTTATACAACATCCCAGCATCAATGAAATCGGGGTTTGTATATTTCTAAAAGCGTTACGGATAGAAATAGGTCCTTACCATAGACTTTTGCAATCATATTACATGACAAAGTGTGATTAAATTATGCTTGAGCTGTACCTCCACGTGATTAGGAAGAATGTTGATAAATTTAAATCCAGGGATCCTCTTGTCACTGCACATCACGCCAACATCTTCACTGTGCTTGCAGTCCGAAACACCAATCCCATTGGAGGGACACTGGGCCAAAGTCTTTTCTTTGCCAGTGCAGTGCAGATTGTCAAACCAGATGGGTCCTGATGGGAAAAAAAAAAAATAAATTATGTTTAGTCGTCAGTGTTATGATGGTGGTGGAGGGGACTCAAGTTGTGGAATTGACAGAGGAAAAATCTACTCAAGGTGTTCTGAGAAAACTATGGAAAACTGGTCACGAACCAGATTTCAAATTCCAATGACACTAAAAATCCAAGAATGAAAAATGGCTACATTATTTTTACCTGGTTATTTTGTTTGTTGAGATTTATTATAGTATACACGTATGAAAAACATGCAAAGATTGCTTGAGTCAAGTAGTACATTCCACAGCTTCCATTAACTGCATCACATTCAAATACCTTCTCCTTTCCCATATTTTGACGATGGAGACCATGAAACTGCTTCCATGTAGCCCAGCTCCCGGCACACCACCTGTGCAGCGTGGATCGAAAAGTCGTCATCGCAGACAGTTCCCCATTGACTGTTGTAGAACACCTCTACACGACCCTCGTTGTGTTTCCTCTTGTCTCCTGCCAGCCTGAGTTGAATTCGGGGCGTGTCGGGGGTTAGCTGGGGAGGAGAGTATTGCTCCTGCTCTGGCTCCAGGTAACTTGGTGGGTAGCCAAGGGTCTCATACTGGGCTACAACCAGCTCCAGTAACACTAATATGCTGCAGTAGAACATGTACTGGATGAGTAACATTTTGGTCAGACCTGAAGAGAAAGAAGACAAAATTCATTTTATACTGGAAGAGCACAGCTTGTTACATAGGAGTAAAATGTTCCAAAACATTGAACCAACTAACATTACATTCATCAATTTTCATACTCGTAAAAATAAAAAAATAAAAAATGAATTGTTGAGCGTGTTTTAGAGACATTTTCGCTTGAAAATAAATGAGTTACTGCTGCCCAGATAAAATGAAGACCATGCACTGTCAAAACAAAAAGGTGCTAAATTTGTGACTTTAAGGCTCCAGTGGCTTGTCACTGGGGCAATTCCCTCAAGGGTACGCCTATTGTACCCTTTAAGCAGATTACACATTGGGACCCTTATGATTTGTACCATTTTAAGATATCCTTTATTTGTCCCACACTGGGGAAATTTACAGTCTACAGCAGCAAGATTGTGGGTAGAAAGAAGAAAGAAGAAAAAAAAAACATTGGAAGCAAATACGTACCAATCGGGTACACATTTGTACCCTTTAGAAGCAAATCTGTTCTTAGGGTACATATTTGCCTACAAAGGCTACTGTCTAGATGAGGGATGGGCAACATTATAAAAATGATTACTACTAACCAAACCAGATCAGTTTTAAGTTGTAATTACATCATTCATATCAATTAATTGCACTCGCAGCAGTTCATCTGTACTGTATTAGAAAAAAATTAACTCAAGCTAATGATGACTCTGCCAATAGAGAGAAGGTGAAGGGTCTAACATGTATTAGGGATGTAACAATATCCAAACATCATGGTACAAAATCGCAATATGAACCTCACGATTTAGTAATTATCACAACATGATAACCAAATGGTGGTAATTTGAGTATTGTGATATCGCAATATCGCCATTTTCGTGACATCCCAACCATGTATGTATCAAGACTTGCACCATCACATGTACGGGTGTTGCACTAAATCATAAGCACTTTATCTGAGCATCAGTGGGAACATGCATGCAAAGGGTCAGGTTTCGCACAAGTCACAGTCATAGTTTCATGTTCACAAAAATTAAATTTTAATAACGTAACAGTTAATTAAGGCACACATTCAATGAACTATGGGTAACACAGACACACTTGAACGATAATGATTAATGACCTAATGATGGAAAAAAATCAATACTTCAGGTCGCAATGCATCTTGGGAACCAAAGCCTGATTGAAAAACAAATAATAGGATCTTAAAAACAACCCTAAGATGAATAGGGACCCAATGAAGGAGTTATGTTCTGCCTTGAACGAGTACCAGTCAAGAGGCGGGCAGCAGCATTCTGGACCAACTGGAGACGCTTAATGGAGGACTGCCTGACTCTACAGTAAAGTGCATTCCAGTACTCCAGTCGGGATGTTAAGAATGCATGAATTACTGTTTAAACGTGCCCTGGAGAAAGGAGAGGTTTTACTTTAGCCAGCTGCCTATGATGAAAGAAGCTGTATTTAAGAACGGCACCGATTTGCCGGTCCAATTTAGACTCATTGTCCAGTTTAAGAACCAAGTTTGAGACTGTTGGCTGAAGGAGCTAGGGGGCCCAAGTCCACAGGATGGGATGCACAAGGGCCACTGAGACCAAACACCATCACTTCTGTCTTCTTTTCATTTAAATTCAAGAAATTTAGTTCCATCCAGGTCTTGATTTCCTCCAGACAGGATAAAAGTGGCCTCAATGAGAAAGCGCCTTCTTTGCTCATTGGGAAATAGATCTGCATAGCAGTGGAAGGAAATACCGTGTTTCCTTATGATGGAACCCAATGGGAGCAGATACTGTACAGTGAGAACAGCAGAGGCCCCAGAATTGAGCCCTGCGAAACACCACACGACAGTGGGGCAGTTCGTGACTCAGACCAACCAAGGCTAACACAAAAGGTTCTGTGAGCTAAATACGACCTAAAACACTCAATACCCACCAGGTGCTGCAAACGAGCTAACAGAATACTGCGATCCACTGTATAAAATGCTGCAATTAAATCCAATAAAACCGGTCATACGTCGTCTCAGGTGTTATTTGCCAGGAGGATGTCTAAAAACTCATAACAGGGCTGAGTCTGTGCTATGCAACATCTTGAAACCAGACTGGAAGACACACGCACGCACGCACGCACGCGCGCGCGCGCACACACACACACACACACACACACCTGTATATATGGGGAGCCTTTTCCGTTGCTGGTCCCTCTGTTTCAATTGGAATGACTGCCTGCTAAACAGTAGGCAAGTCCTCTCAGTGCCGATCTTTAAATCCCGTCTTAAACACATTTTTATTCTTTAGATTATAACTCAGTATGAGACTTGGAATTGGTTTTCCTATTTTTGTGCTTTTTACAGTCTCCATTATTAATTTATTGTTTTAACCATCGTTGTTGTTGTCCAACTGATTTTTGCTCAATGTATAGCGCTTTGTAAGCAGTGATGGTTGGTTTAAAATGCTCTAGAAATACAGTTGAGTTGAGTACGATTTGAACAAAAGAATCCAGTACACTGCGATACACCACTGAAAACTTCAGTGGCTTTCAGCCACTCTTCTTTTTTTCTACTGCCGTAACTCCCCCAAGGTCCTCTGGTGCCCCCCCAGGAGAGACATGCCTTATTCTGTAAAATCTGCTGTCCTGAACACGAACAAAACTTGCCTTGGATGAATTGTTACAGCTGTCCCCTTTACATTTTACACTTTGAAAAAAATAATTAGTGAATACATCCATAAATAGCTAAGTAGAATAACAATGTTACCCCTTGTTATTTCTGTGGGGTCCACATGCAAATGCATGCATGCACATCAGCGCGCACACACACACACACACGAACGCGCACACGCACACACACAGCGGTCTGAAACAGCAGTGTGTATAAGTAATAGGGGCTAAAGACTGTACTATGGCTGCACTGTGGTCAAAAAGTAGTGATGGTAGTGAAAGAGAGCGGAGTTTGGCCAGGCTATATATTTTTGTATACAGAACATGAAAATTACAGGGTGCAATGTTCCTCTTCTGAGGTATCTAAGGATTTGAATAATGTCCTTAAAAATAAATTCTTGCGTTGATGGAAATGAACACATTTCATGTTATTTAACTTTAGAATACTAGACATGGACAGCCCTCGTAATTTTCTCATGGTCAAGCCTAATGTCCTTTCTGAAAAAAAGGTCCAGAAGGGTTCCATTTTCATTCTCCAAGTTACAACATTTTGTGATGATCTCTGAAGGGTTCACGATGGAATCACTAGGTACAAATAAGTACTGTTTATGGTTATAATAAAGGTAAACAAATGATCCAAATGAGCAAAGGGACCATTTCTGTAACTTTATGTTTGCACGTACAAACAAATGCCCAGCTTTTGGGACTATCTTTCCAAAGAGCCCACTGTTGTATGGAATGTGTCACAAGAGGAGCGGAATTCGGACCCAGAATCAGAGAGGAGACAAAAGTGGCCAAGTAAAAGTCTTGATATCCAAAAATTCAAAGTAAAAACAGAGAGCAGGACTGGAGGCAGTAGGACATAGAAGGCTTAACGTTTTGACGTGTAACGTTGTAACTGAGTAACTCAATCAAATGTATATATAGAAAAACAACTCCAGCCTCGTGTGACCAAATAAAGCAACAAACAACATCAAGTGAACAAAGAGCAAAACTTTGTCACAGTCACAACAGTACCCCCCCTCAAGGGGCACCGCCCGGTGCCTTTCCTGGCTTGTGGGGGAACTCATGGTAGAAGTCCCAGAGGAGGTTAGCGCTGAGGATGAGGGACCGAGAGACCCAGGAATGTTCCTCAGGGCCGCACCCCTCCCAGACAACTAAATACTGTACTGAAAACCCGACCACGGCGACATATACCCAAAATCTTGCGGACGGTGTGGGCGGTGTGACCATCAATGACCAGGGGCGGAGGAGGACGCTGGGAAGGAGGGGTGAGGGGGCTAGAGGAGACCGGCTTCAGGAGAGAGACATGAAAAGTGGGGTGGAATTCTAAAGGCCTAATGAACCTGGGGGCTAGCTTACAGGAATCAGTCCAGAGGAGAAGGTCAAAAATCAACTGCGTAAAATGTTACTCTTTGGAAAGTCTTCTTTTGGGGAACTAAAGGATGCAGACAAGTCAAGTGCAACGCTAACAGTTGGAGCAGATTGAATGGATATGCAGTAAATTATCCTGGAAGAGACTGCTGAAATACCACTCACTTTCATTTGCACCATGTTAAGTCAATTGTTTACATCCAGTAGCCAGACGCTGAGCGGAACGATATTTGTATACGGATTAGACATGTGGCCTGAGTGGGAGGCAGTTGACTTTTTGTCTTCAGTGTGGGAACCCTAATAATCATCTCATAATATTAAATCATCGCCATCACATTCTGCGATCAGAACATTTCTGGTTAATTTTGAAAAGAAGATGAGGAAAAAAATTGGGGGCAAATGAAATTAAGCAGAGGGCCAGATGTGGCCTGTGGCCCTTGAGTTACTGGACTCGACTGTTTGTATAAAAGTGACTGAATTATTATCTCTGTGAGAAGTTGTGAACTAACAGCCTTGAAACTCCCACAGAAGTCCGTATCCATAAGAGGACAATACTTAAATCATCTGAAAGTCAAATCCTTACGTAACCAAACGTTCACAGTGGGACAAAAACAACTGCAAAAGAATGGCTATTAAAAAAACAACTCATATATCAGTGCCTCATATTTCACATACCAATCAGATGACATAAAAGCACACCAGCTGCATTCTGAAGGAGAATGTGTACATAAATCTTCCAGCAGGGTTACTCCTCACTCAATGTAACGTGGCAGTGGTTGCACAAGTGGTTCCCACAACATTACAAAATCAACCGATGGAAGCTACTCCCACTGAGTTTGAATCATTATGGGAAAACCCAACGTATAGAATACAGTCTGTCCAAACTCCTCATTAGAACACAAAAGCAAATTACAATAAGATAATGAAACAGAAATGCTGAAATGAAACCAACAAGAATATCAGATGCACACAGCAACATTCATATGAACGCAACTTCTTTTTGCCATTATCATGAAGGACTCCTGCATCTGAGGTTAGTCGTTTCATCCTAAATAGAAACACTGCTTTTCACCTAGTCCCACCTGATTCTAGAAGGATATTCATTTGTTGGAAGGGTCAAAAGTTAATTTCAAAATAATGTCAACTACTCTTTTACATCACGGTGAATGTTAAAACACAGGGAATTGAGATTATTTGCAAAAACATGTCAGTCTCGTAAAGTAATGATGAACGAATAAGCCTTAAAACCTGACTTTTAAAAATAGTGATTAAAATCACTGGATTCTTCAACTATTGGTTCAGACAAAAAAAAAAAAACACACACACACACAATCACAAGCGCACGTAAAGACTTAATCTTATTGTCAGTCCACTTGGCTGACAAGGTCACCGGTACTTCGAAACTGGGAAAATCAGTGACTCCACACTGCACGAAAAACATGCAAGAATTTTGTCGTAACAGTTTCTTAACATTTAACGATTTGGGTAAGCTATAGCAACTCAGGGATGTTAAGATGCTGTAAATTGAAGACACATTTGGATATTGAATGCCTCGAATGCAGCATTACCGAGATGCCCACATCAAGACTCATGTAAACTTACTTTGCTTCTTGTCTGCGACCAGTCCAAGTTGAGGAGAGGGAAGCCCTGTGAGGAGAAGCCTCTTCGACTTCCAGAACACTTTCACTCCGTGATGGAAACAGCAGGCTTTGGACCCGACCCTCGCCCCCACTTACACCCACCTTTAAAATGACATCACGAGAGATGGCCTGAGACGTGGAAAGGCGCACGAACAGAGACAGACTATCCTACTTTGAACGCAGAAATGTTGCTTTCAAAGGCTGTCGGGAAACTGAAAAATCACACGCTATCGCAGTAAACAGAACTAAATAGATTGCAACAGCTGAAGTGGCATTCTCAAGACACGCGTAATCTATTCGATGATATCACTGATACATGCGTAAAAGTGCCGTCGGATGTACTTAATTGACGTAGACAAATCTACATCGATTCTATTGAAAAAAAAAAGTGCGTGTCTATACTACATGTTACGGTAACGTCAGTTATGTTCTGAGCAGGATAATGCATGGGGGGGGGACTTTTAATGACATTTATTGTCAGAGAGGCAGGGGGTTGGGGTGAGAGTGAGGGACAGTGCGAGAGAGAGAGAGAGAGAGAGAGAGAGAGAGAGAGAGAGAGAGAGAGAGAGAGAGAGAGAGAGAGAGAGAGAGAGAGAGAGAGAGAGAGATAGAAAGCGATAGCAAACGGACAAAGCTACATCAGTCTTCACCATGGAATGTTTGACTATACAGTACGACTCTTCTTTGCTGCCACCTTGTGCAAGGCTCGGGAATTAATCGTACTGCCATGCAAAACCTCGCCAATACATAATGTCATTCTTTGGACGTGAAGTTGGGGGTTTCCAGGGAAAAACTGTGCAATGAAAAATTGTAATAATGAGATCATGGGCAGAACTGTTACAGACAGTAAAGAAATGAAAGGCACCAACTTCGAAGAATAAACCTTTATTAATCGCACTATGGGGATAATGCACTCACACTATATTTAAATACACAAAATGAAAAAAAAACAGTGTTACTTGGTTATAATTTCAAGAACAGAACCCTAATTTAAAACGTCATCTTTGGTTCCGTTGAATTGTCCAATCTGGCTTTGACAATGATGGAGAGCAATTTCCATGATTAACTTCCTTCTTGAAGCAAAGGCTGTGGGGAAATGATAGAACAGGTTTCCATTTATATTAAATCACACACATTTTTTGAATAATCTATCATGTCGGGCTCACCGTGTAGGTGATGTCTGCAGGCTGGCTTTCTGGCTTTTGCCACTCACGAGTGGACAAAATCTTAAGGACAACTAAACCAAAAGCTATCATCAAGACTCCTAATGAATTTCCCAACAAGGCCTCAGTGGGAAGTTGAGAATACGGCTGAGACCCACTGGTATTTCCCTTCCTATTAAAAGATGTGGACATAATATTCATAATAACCACCATTTCTCAATGAAATCACTAGGGCAACACACAGGTGGGGAGCACTTACAGGACAAAGAAGAGTTTTTCGTTAATGCCTGAAATACAGGCCCCAATGCCAAGTGTCATTAAGCTGCCTCCCATCCAGACATGTTGGGGTTTCAGGAGTTTGCGCAATGAATCAGGGGACCAGGGAAGGAGGAAGACGGCCATCCCTGCAGCCCACTGGGTTGACAAATTCATAAAAAGACAAACACTCACACATAGAGTTGAGAAAGAATCATATTGTCACTGTCCCATGAAAAGCACACAACTCCACACATTTTGGTGGGTTCTTTTTCAGGTGAGACACACCCAAAAAATAATTGAAAACTATTTGAATAATAATTCAAAACTTCAGTCATGTATTTCATCACCTTCCTAAAATAATGACCAATGTCTTTTTTCCCCCCGAAAACATGAAAAACTGAACTAAATACTGATTGTAGTTGGGGTTCCCACTCTTTCCTTGAAATTATTTTCCAGGACGATTTCATCGATTACAGTACGAGTCAAGTTATCACAACATAACCGAATAAATTCCACGCCCCCAAATTTTTAGAAAAGTAAAGGCACCGCCCTTACTGCTGTGAATCAATTCTCATTATATACCCGCAAAGAGCCGTTCAAAAGACTGACTAATTTGTGAACATCACAAGTCTATTATAAAATCTCACTTGGATAATGGCATCAAAATGACTTTCGTTTCCAAGTAAATCAAAACGATGGAATATAGCCGATTGACTAATGAGCTGCTTCTGGCTTGGAGGGAGGCCAAAGCCCATGCTCGCATCCATGGCACTGCCACAGCCAGGGTGACTAGCCAGGGGCCCAACAGTCGCTAAAAATTGCATTTCATGTTGGAGCGCCGCTTTCTGTGCATACACACATTATTTTAATTGGGCTGAATTGGTCATTAAGTTTTTGTTATTCACAAATTTTCTGTTTCTGCTGTCGGACAGTGGAGAAAGTATGATATACTGCGTGAAACATAGCCCAGTAAAGACCTCTTTGTTCCTCCTGCATAAGCCGCATTGCATCACTTGACCAATGCGTCGTGCCGTGCGGCACATCCGTAACACGTCGCGCGCGTGTCAGAAATCGTCGCTGAGCGTAGAATGCAGTGCATACTCTACCGTAATTGATCCTTTTAGCGACATGCAGCCATGTCCCCCCGCCCCCAAAATCAGGACATAGGCCGTTACTTTGAGAGAGTCATGATATGAAGAATACATTCAGCTAAAAGTGATGTACATGTCATGTTTCTGTACATAAGAGTTGTACCTGTGCAGCAAAAAGAACTGTGGTGATGATTCCAATCCAGCTGTGCAGGGAGTACAAATTGGGGATGTTTGAGGCATTGTGATTGCCGAACACAGCACAAAGTCCAATAACTGAAAGTATCAGCGCGAGGAGCATCAGTGCAGCATGCAGCAATTTCCAAGGAAGTTTATTCTCTCCCCACGTCAAGGGGACACGGTACAACACAGCTCCTGCAGGGAAGAACATTTTCAATTCTATTAAAAAGAGATCCCCTTAGATGTCCATTGCCTGTCAGGGTTGCAACCACAGCTTCAATAGTGCATGATGATGATGATGATGATGACGAAAAGATTGAATGAGGGTTGTTCTCAGAAAAGGTGGTGCGCCCTGGGTTGCGGACCCAGTTTGAGAGCCAATATTTTTTTCCTTCTAAAATTGATCAGCAGTTTTGACTGTTTCCAATATCCATGCATTCATCCATTTTCCAATCCACTTTATCCTCACAAGGGTCGTGGGGCTTGCTGGAGCCTATCCCATCTTCGGGCAGTAGGTGGGGTACACCCTGAACTGGTTACCAACCATTCGCAGGGAACACAGAGACGAACAACCCCCTGCGCTCACAATCAAACCTCGGGACAATTTAGAGTGTTCAATCAGCCTGCCATGCATGTTTTTGGAATGTGGGAGGAAACCGGAGCACCCGGAGAAAACTGCAGGCACAGGGAGAACATGCAACAGGAAGGCCGAAGACAGAATCGAACCCTGCACCTCTTCACTCCAAGGCCGACGCGCGAACCAGTCTATGCACAATTGGTCATTTGTACCCGTTTTTCAACTGATTAACTGTGTATAAGGGTAGTGAAGCTGTTTAAGTGTAAATAAAATTGATCTAAAAATAATTTTGTATTGAGTGCTCAGTGTTTGGTGCCCATGTAACAAACGAGTAGACTAGCGACATTCAGCAAACTCCTGCAAACACAGGGCTGAGTTCACTCGTTATTCATAGGACTCTGTAAGTAAAAAAAAAAAAAAAAGTTTGATTCAAAGCATACATCATTTGTAATTTGTTTTGCACAAGTTCACTTTTGGGCTCACATGTCACAATCCCAGACCATGACTTCTGACAACAACCCATGACTGTCTTCCAACATGTGTGTCCGTGATATTCATCAAAGTGGCCCATTCCTGATCCACTATTGTATTTTTGCATTTTCTTCTGTTTTTTTTTTTTGCGGGGGGTGCCGCAACAAAAGTGTGCTTATGATGGTAGTAAATTGACAGTGGATATTGAGAAGGGAACATAAACTGCAAAGTGATCTGCATTGATGCAAGTAGCCCTAAGAAATTGAGTTGGCCTGTGTTTGAAATGGGCGACATAAATAAGGTTCCCTTGCCTTGCAAGGTGCCTCAAATCATCCCTCCGTCCATTTCTAGGCTCATCCCAGCATTTGTTGCGTTATCAAATATATTGTGAAGTAGTAAACAACATTCTTCAAACATCTTATTTGTAAAGTGGCTCATTTTTATACACACTTGTATCATTTTTTTTGAATATGTGAATCCAATTCTGAGTCTGATTATTTCAATAAGAACTAATCACAAGGTAAGATTGTGGTAAGGTAAAACCAGATTGTGGTTGACTTTGGAAGCTGCGCTCTGCAGAATACTCTCTAAAATCAAGGCCAAAATTTAGCACCAGAGAGCCTGTTTTTTTCTTTTCTCACAGTAACGTTACAGTATGTGAATGACTTGCAATGACTACATTTCTTTCTTTTTATTCACAAGGTTCTAGATGTTTATTTAACTAACAAAATAAATAACACATACAGTAAAGGGAGTACTCTGTCTTAAGGACATTGCTGCAGTTGTGTATGAATACTGACAACATATTAGCAATTCTAAGCTTAGAGAGGGGATGCCAGTAGTGCAGTTGATCCCCCAAGAATTCCTCTAATCGTGTTTATCCGTCTATCCATTCTTATCAAAAAAACAAAAAAAAAACTTACGTGGTGAAACAGCGATGTTTTTGCTCCCATTTTCCAATGTACGCAAAAGGCCCTATTTCTCTTTACTTGTTTCACACAAGTGAGGTCCGGAGGGTCAGAAAACCAGTAGTATCTGCCGACTTGCCTGACGCAGCACAACACATCTCCTTAGCATACAGTTATCACTTGTGTCATTCATCCACAGACATCACCTCGTGTTTCAGCGTGATAATGCAAGGCCCTGTGTTGTATCAGTGTACAAGTCCTGAAAACTGAAGACATCCCAGTTCTTGCATGGCCAGCACACACACTAGATGCGTCACCAGTTGAGCATGTTTGGGATGCTCTGGATAGGCATGGATGAATGACAAACTCAGGATATTGATACATAATGCTACAAGAACTGAAAAACATGCCTTTATATATTAAAAAAAAGTGTCCGGTATATAATCTGCCTAAGTCAGTGGTTCTTAACCTGGGTCCGATCGAACCCGAGGGGTTCGGTGAATCAGTCTCAGGGGTTCGATAGAGCCTCTGTCGTGGAGGTTAAGACAAACCCGACTCAAAATGTCAGTTATGACTCACCCGCTTTGCCATCACTGGCTTGTTCATTTTGTGCACAATAATTAAAAAACATATACTTTACACTGATACTAATTGTGTTTACTTTTTTCTGTTTTTAATGTCTTGAATTTGTAAAAAAAAAAAAAAAAAATCTCATTTTATTTTTCACTAATGAAGGGTTCGGTGAATGTGCATATGAACTAGTTGGGTTCGGTACCTCTAACAAGGTTAAGAACCACTAGCCTAAGTGAATACAAAAGTTGAGAAATACAAATAAACACCGTATGCCATCAGTTTGGAAGCAGAAAAAAAATATTCACCATTGCCGTACAACACCAGCATACCAGTTACCATCAGGACCGGGTGCCAGTTGAACTGACGGGAAGAGCCGTCCCAGGCGAAACCACCACGCCACTGGCTGTTCCAGAAACACACACACGCCACGCAGGCCAGACCCAAGCCCAAGCACAGAAAATACCATATGTTGAAGCAGGTAATGGACCTCATCCTGGAGACACTTGAACACTATGAGAAAACAAGAATATTATTGTGAATATTTCCCCACAGACACACTCCACAATCTTGTAGATTAGCTGTAGAGGTCAAGTCTATCGATGCTGTCTGGGAATCTAAAGACAATGTTTGTCCATATTATTGAAATGCCATCTTAAAACACTGTTTCAAATGTGATGAAAATAACAGAAACTCACATTTTAAAATGACTCCTTTTAATAGATTCAACTCTTGCCAAATGTGAACATCAACAATAAAAGACAAAATGAATCTTAACATTTATTTTCCAGATCAAGTCTCGTTCAATTTCTTTTACTTTCACCTTTTATTTAAAAAATCCACAACTGCTATCAGATGGGTGTGTATTCATGAAAGAGTCTTATCTTAGCCGCTTTGAAATGATGATCAAACTTGATACTCTGCACAATTCAGCCAATCATTTCCTCCACTCATGATCCCAAGTTAATATGTGACCACCCAGCTGCGACAGTTTGATCTCACTTTGTTATATCTTTATAGAGTAGTTCCAGTTTCACGCGGGGCTGTATTAAAGTGTGTGTGTGTGTGTGTGTGTGTGAGGGGGGTGCAAGGGAAGTGAAGAGTCTGTCCGCGGTTGATGCGCCAACCTGAGGTACTGTATCTACCTACTACCAAAATAATAAGACACCAAGTGCTAAGGAGGGTAGATACAAACGACATCGGTGAAAAAAAAAACTTCCCAGATACGTTCAGATCAATCACAAGACAAGGGCCATTTAAATTATGTCGAATGAAATTAGAATCTACAGCAAATCAAACATTTACCTTCATCAATATCGCAAAACGTGGATGGTTTCTCCTTCAGCAGTCACGTACCTAACGAAAGACCTCGTTAACCTTAGTTTATGCTACCACCCGAGTGACTGCAAGTAAATAATAATATCTAAGTATTGTAGATGCGTCCAGATGACACTTGTTCAGGAAAACTTCGATACAAACTAAAATCTCCAAGCCGAGACTTGGAGCTGCGTCAACTCCATTGCAACCATAGGTCATTTCCTTATTGGTCGCGCAAAGAATCTTGGGAGTCATTTCCTATCATTTTGTCAGCTGATCCGAGAGCACTACCTGGTGGTTCCAAGATACTGGAAGAGTTTTTGACTGCAAAAAATCAGTGTACAAAAAATGTAAATGGTCGCTCTAAAAAATTGGTCTCGGCAGTCTGTGGAGTTTGTGCGATATGGCGGGTTACAGTTATGATTGAGTTGCAATGTATTTTTTCCTCGCTAAAATGTTCCAAAAAGTCGTACTATATGTATGAAGTCAACTTTATAAAGTATACGCAAGTGTATGTATATAAAACGTACTTTTTTCATACTAAATTAATTGGAACAAATTAAGTTTTAAAAGCATACTATAAGTATCTGTATATTTTTCAGTCCAAACCAAGTATACTTAAGCATAATTCTGTGAAGTTTATAAAAATATAATATTGAAAAAGTACAGTGCACTTGTCGATGCGCCATACCAATGCAATTCAAATAGGAACAAATATTTCAAGAGGATGGAAAGTATTCGCAATAGTTTGCATTGTGTTAATGGAATAATAAATACAAAGCAACGTGATCCGCAAATTAAAACACAAAATACAATTTACCGAACGCAAGTAAATCAATGAATACGAATACTAATTGGCTAATGAATCATATGGTTCAAATATACGTCTCTCTCTCTCTCTCTCTCTCTCTCTCTCTCTCTCTCTCTCTCTCTCTCTCTCTCTCTCTCTCTCTCGCTACAGAGCCCCGCCTAACCAATAATATACAGCCAGCTCCCCCCAAAAATCACAAGATTGTTGTAAAGCTTGCCTTAACGTTTGATTGCTTTAATGAGTAAAAAGATCACTCTTTAATATTATACTTGATAAAACATACAGTTATGACGTAATGATATCGAATTGGAAATAGATTTTGTCACACTGTCCTGCAATCCAGATTGTGTTGCTCATTTCGGCGTGCGAACCTTGGCCACCTGGGGGCAGGGTAGGACAGACAAACGGACATACTGAAAAATATATAGTTCTTTGATTATATGTGTATTTTTTACCTTTATTTGGGTGTTCAGTAAGGCAGTTGAGAAACAATTCTCATTTGCAATTCCAACCTTGCTCCACACAGAAGAGTAAAACAAGGAAAAATAAAAGCAAATACATTTATACCACAAACTGTACATTTACAAAGTAGTGACAGTACATATTTACATAATATTACAAGTATATACATATAGTGAATACAAGTTTCATATCAGGCAATTTTATGTGTTGAAGAGTGGTCCACTGCTTCGAGGTAGAAACCTGAAAATAAGATTGACCAAAAGTAGTGTGGACTTCGGGAACAGAGTGGTGACTGAAATTGCTGGCATGGTGTATGCGGGGGTTGACCGTCATGGGGAGCAGAGAGTAATGTGTTTTTTGAGATAAAGATGCACCAGTGAATGTGTCTGTGAGCAGAGTGTGCCAATTAACCAGGAAGTAGACTGTTAGAAAGAAAAGGTGCTAAATCTGTACCTTTAAGGATCCAATGTCTTGTCAATGGGATCCACCCTCAAAGTTACAGCTATTGTAGCCATTGAACAGTTTACACATTGGGACACTTAGCCTAAAACAAGTAATGTGATAATTAAGACACACATTTAACGAACTACGGGTCACGAACAAATTTCAACGGTAATGATTAATAACTGTATGATGGAAAACGTTTTAAATCGCATGCTGCAAAGCATCCTGGGAACGGAAGTGTAGTAGTCGGCAGATCGATAATATTATAGCAAGTCAATATCAATATCAGATTGGTACTTGCAAGATGAGATCAATACAGTATTTTCAGTTTTGCTCTCTCTCTCTCGCTCTCTCTCTCTCTCTGTCTGTCTGTCTCTCTCTCTCTCTCTCTATATATATATAGACTGTATATTGATTAGCACATCTTACACAAAAGTAGCTGTTCCACCAGCAAGCTTATATTTGGATATTTACCGGTAGTTTGTGTGAAATTATATTTTAGTTTGTATATAGAGGGATGTGAAACTATGTGTCCCTCTTCTCGTGGCCTGGATTAAGTATGGCACACTCTTAGTGTGTAATTCTGGAATTACTATTCTCATACAAGGATTGAAATCAAGTATGCCTGCGATTGGTTGGCAAAGAGTTCAGGGTACCCCGCATGCTGCCCGAAGACAGCTGGGATAGGCGCCAGCACAACAGGGACCCTCGAGGGCATAAACAGATTAGAAAATGGCTGGATGGATGGAAATCAAGCATGGTTCTCTCTCAGGGTTAAACGTAAAAATGACAATTCTCGTAAAAAGGCCAAAATCAAGTATGGCGAACTCTGGTGTTTAGAATTGCAAATAGTCATGCCAATTGTCACGGGACTTAACTTGTTCAACATTATACAATCCATTACTTCAACAGACATGGTGCATCGGTTACATCATGTGTGCTCATTTTCACCCCAGTTCTTTGTGTGGGATGTCGTCATTCCTCTTGACACCGTTGTGATTGAAGTGAGTGATGAGTGAAGTGATTTGTACATTGTCAGACTAATATGAACATTTATCACAATAAACTCAATTACACACTGTGATGTTTTCCAGTAATTCAAATGCACATAACTGGTGCACAACTTTTGGGGTTTTGCAGTGTGGAGAAACATTGGATATTCTATTCTATTTTGTTGTTTGAAAAGATAATGTAAAAATTTGGAGGTTATTTTATCATTGCGCGAAGGGTCATTCCAAATACTCTTTCAAAAGTAGTAGGTCATCACATGGGAAGAAAAACTTGTTTCATGATGCATTGACAATTGAAGTTAATCACTGCTCTCTGAAATGCAATCAAATCAAATAGGTGAGGGATTCCCACCCCTATTTGCAAGCATTCAAATTATGCCACAATCAATTGAAATTAACAGACATTAAGAAAAAAAAGTGGGGGTTTTCTATCAGATTCACATTCACTGCCTTTATTGAATGCACAACATATGTCCTAGGATTCCATTGAGACGTATTCAACCCTGGAGGGGATACATTTAAGACAACTTTGTGTGGAGAGCTGTCAGCTGGGATTTAAAAAGAAAAACGTGATGCTTACGTTCCGAAAACGTGGAACTCAGGTGTATTTATTTACTTTATTTACTGTATGAATTTATTCATCTGTATATTTAGGTCAAACTCCTGAAAAAAACAACTATTTAAAAAGTAGTCAGCCGTTAATTATGCACGAAAACAAAGAATGCTTCCATCAAGGGAAATACCTAAAGACCCGTTTAACCACTAAGCATGAGCCTTGACAGGGTGTGCTGCGTGGGTAGATTAACAGAATTTGACATGACGCCACTCCCAGGGTGAGTCACGCGGTCAAAGGTGCACTCATTTTGTAAGATGCCTTTTTTATTGATGGTGGTGGTGTCAGGTGAGGGGGGAGGTCCTACCCGTTCCCCTGCACTCCACCTGTATTTCAAAAAAATAGTCCATGGCAAATCTTTCAGAAAGAGTTTTATTATTCCAGTTACATTGACACACTTCAACAAAAGCTCTTGAACATACAGGAGAGGTACAAAAATAGAATACTGTACCTACAATCCAATGTAGACAAATATCAGACTTCAAAAGGTATTTTTAAAATGACTGCCTGACAACATTGAGCACTTAGTGGCATAATTCACAACCGAAAGCGTAACCACGTAATTTGTTCAAATTTCAGAAGTACATAGACATAGCAGCAACATATAAATTAATATTTTAATCTAAAACTGACAACCCTTCACCTTGGTGTGGGGAAGCGGGTGGACAAAACAATAACACTTAAGACAAACGTCTTCAAAGCTTTAGTGCTGTCATTAAAGACATATTCAGCAAAGCGCCATGATGCAGCTTAATAAGGCTAGCATTCAAAGGGCTGATTGAAAAATGTCTCTCCTTCATCGTTTCAGAATGTATGTGTGCTCCAAACTCAAAACACGGAATAAGTTAAAAAAAAAAAGTATCCAATTCATCTGTGCTGTATGTACACAGCACATTTGACAATAAAGTTGTATCCAAATCCAAAATCCAAATCCAATGACAAAAGCAGACGCAAAGTTAATCCACATTGTTTGCCAATGGAATTCCATTTCGAACATTTCATGAAAACAAAATTTCGGAAACATTTCGGGTGGATGGAGTAACGGACATAAATCGCAGTAAAACAGCTAAAGTGCAGTTAATTCGAGCACCTATGTCAATCACTCATAGTAACAACAGCCAAAGTTCTACAAGAGACAAATTAAAACATCTAAACCAGTTTGGATGTAAACCTCATAAGTTAGGATATATATGCTCTGTAAAACTTTGCCAAAAAATGCAAATGATGTAACTCATCTTACTCTTTCGCATTCAGTTTCCTAAATGTCCAGTGTTAGTTAATTCAACAAATCCACATTTTAATTTGCTCAACCAACAAAGTCATTCCTGAGGCATCAGAGAGTCACAGTCACTACACAAAATACTTGGGATTGTTCCTGAAATGCTTTCAACAGAAATGAGAAGGCATTTTTCACCCCAGTCAGTCACTACACAAACTACATAAAAGTACTTTGATAGTTCCCTGAAATGCTTTCAACATAAGTGAGAAGGCATTTTCCGGCTGTCAGTCACTTCACAAACTACACAATGCATTTGTGGTAGTCCATTGAAATGCTTTTGACAGAAATGAGAAGGCATTTTTCACCCCAGTCAGTCACTACACAAACTACATAAAAGTACTTTGATAGTTCCCTGAAATGCTTTCAACATAAGTGAGAAGGCATTTTCCGGCTGTCAGTCACTTCACAAACTACACAATGCATTTGTGGTAGTTCATTGAAATGCTTTTGACAGAAATTAGAAGGCATTTTTAACCCCAAGCATGTGTTTTATTACACCGTGCGATTTCACTATCAGTACGGCGCACTATCAATGCCTGTGCATGCGTCTCCAAAAAACTTGGAAGACGCACAACTGTGTCACAATCCGGTGGCGTGCACAAAACTGCACTACATCCGGTCATCTCATCAGAAGTATGGAAAGAAATTCCAGACGTTCTGCAAACAATTTATCATGACTAGTTCTCTAAAACATAATGGCCATTTTTCAGTGCTTTCGCCTTGATTATCTCAGCTGTACGTCTTTGATCAAACTTCAGTAACGCTTTCAGCAGGTCATTTAAACTTGCATCCTTGCCCTCCTTCTCCAACCAGATGTTCAGCAACTCGTGAATCCTGTCTTCATAGAGAAGTGGGTCTTTGCTTTTGATCACATTGCTATTCAGCTCAAGCTGACGGAAGAACCTCTTGTAATAGTCGATATCGACTTCCTCGAAATACTGGAAACACCTCCTGAGAGATTCTTCACCTGCGAATAAAGTTTAAATGTTTTCATTCAGCTATCTTGACTTTATTGTACAAATGGGTTACTTGAGCTGACTACATACAAGTGGGTTTATGTTTGCTGGATGTGCAGCACTAGTGTGTAAGTTAAAAAAATAAAATAAGAAAAACAAAAATAAAACAAGAGAATGTCTCAAGTAAGTCATGTCATGACAACACATATTGGTCAAGCAACCCCTTAGCCCTGGAAGAGAAAAAAAATCCTGGCATCATGCCTGTTCAGAGTGTATATTCTACATTCGCCATTCCAGATTTTATTTTGTGCTACTCTTAGAGGGGACGGCTGAGTGCATTGAACTTCAGTCAGGTACAAGATAAGGATCACTGGATCCCTGCCATCTTTTAGGCACAATATGAGAGGGTGTGCTGGGTAAAAGCAATCTTGTCAAACAACAGCATTCCTGACATTTAGGAGCCACACTTTGACGAATACAAATGAATTGTGAAGACTTACCATTTATAGGAATCAGCTCTGGAAAAGGCTCATCCTCCTAAAAGACACAAAAGGCATTCAATTTCCAAATAAATGGTTTATATTCTTACATTAGGTCCATACCCAAAATTGAAAGCATTTGTTTGCCCCCCTCAAAAAAAGTGTGCTGTTGAGTAACACGACCAATGCTGTGTTTACCACAACCTTTGCCTGTGACTCATCAGTTTCCTGGCAACACGAAGTCTGATCTACGGAATCGGAGACCATTGTGTAAGCAACGATGAAGATTAAGCAAGTGCAGTTTTTTTGCAGGGAGGGGGGAAATATGCTGATGTTATTAAGAGGTGGCCTCAGGTTCTTGGCTGTTAGTTGGTCATACAAAAAGTCTCTGAGGATGAACATTTTTCCCCCCCGACACAGCACTTGAATTTCATCCTCCATGGCGGCTGATCTTTGTAGAAATGCAGCAAGCAATGCCTACTTCTCAATAGAAATGAGTGAAGTTGCCGCAAATCAGGTGAAAGCTCTCTTCTAGTTCAACTTTACCTCCAGGACACGCAACTTGTAGCAGTTGACAATATTAAAGTCCATAAAATGTCAAAAATCCGTTTAGTTTTTTCCCCATTTGGGCACCAAAATTGGAAAAGGAGTCGTATTCCGTTCCCCGACCCCCCTCCTTTTTTTTTTAAGAACCAACATTGACAAATAAGTCTGTTTTTTTTCCCTTTTTTTTCTCCTTTCGATTTTGAAAAAGGAATTTTATTTGGATTTAGGGCATACCCAGCCTTTCACCAGTCAGCTGGGATAAGCCTCAGCACATCCAAAATCCCAATGAGAATAAATGGTAAAGAGAAGAGTTGATGGCACGAAAGTTTTCACATTCCACATTATTCCAATTTCAAGCACATTGAATTAAAAAAAAAAAATGCCTTTGTCAACTTTGAAAAAAGCGGCATTAAAATGAAAACCTTTAAGATTTCACAGAAGCCTGAGAAAAAGGTGGAAGACGAAAGAAGGCATGAAGAGGTGAGAGGCAGGGCAAGAAGCATAAATGAAGCCAGTCTGAGTTTGCTGCTCTCACCCTCAAATCGGGCTGAATGGCAGTCAGAGACGCTCGGTGGGCAGAGGCGGGGAAGGCAGGGGGTAGGCTGGTTAGATTTTGTTGGGAGTTATTGGCAGAGCTGTTGTGGCTTTCACACAGCGCTTGGCACTCATCCTCCATCGTGGCTGAGCTTTGACCTCTCACCCGTGGCTGAGAAAAGATCAGACTGGAGCATCCCGGCTTTTGGCTTTGTTCATTGTTCCCCTCTAGCGCGTGCTGCAACATTTCAAGAGACTTGGTCCATATCCTTTTGCAAAAAGTCTGTTTAAGTATTCCTCCTTCCTCTTAATTATTCACAAAGTCATGCTGTCATGAAACTCACCTCAACTTTCAGCTCGTTTTCCTCAGAGCCTAAGGGGAAGATGCAACCACCAAGATTGTCCAAAATTTGGAAACCCAAGAGAAGAATTGTACACATTTAATTCATAAACATTTTGGGGTTGCACCTACCTCTTGCCAGCTTCTTCGTACACCAGTAAATTAGTCCACACAACAGAAAAAGGACGAGGAGCACACTGCACACAATAATGGCAGTGTTTCCTAGATGCGGTTGGGAAGGAGAGAGAGAACCACATTAGCACCACGGAAGACATGACGAAGATTTGAGTATGTTTTAAGGTTTTGCATATTTGCTCAAATCGGAGCCATTAAGTTTTTGAAAACAATTTGAAACAGAAGAAGTCATTTGAGACCAAAAACAAGTGGTAAGTTTGATACTTTCGGCGAGGCATTCAAACTATTAGTTTCCACTATACCTGAGGCAGAGTCAGACTGCAGTGGGATTTTCTTGCACTCCGTGTTTGAGGTCGCACTGCAGTTGCGAACAACCTTTTCATCCTTCTCACATCTAATTTACAGCCAGGCAAACAACATTTGAAGCAAATAAAATACAAGTAACTCCAACCTGTCATGAATGAACAACTAGTACATCGTCACCTTGAACATTTATTGCACATCTCGCATGCATGTTCGGGTGCACAGAATCGTCCTTCTTTGCACTGACATTTGGTGTTTTGGGTGCGGTTACAAGGCCAGACAATCTCTTGATCTGCAACAACAACAACAACAACAAAAGGCCTCGTGTAATGGAATTTATGATCAAATCATTTGGAAAATATGTGAAGGTGTATTTTTCCTCATTCCTTTTAACTGTACAAAATACCTGGACGGCACTTGGTGCATGTGATACATTGCTTGAGGTCATTGGCATGTTGAGTGTATGTTTCATCTGCACATTTCTCACACTGCCCCTTTTCACCTGGCGCAGTGCAGGCTGACTTCAAATAAGTACCTGAAACAAGCACGGAGCAGTCACTGTTTAACTGAGCATCAAAGTCAACTGGTCCCTTAGCAAGTGCGTCAACAAACCCAATTGTGCTAGGGTCAAGGACCTTTTCTTTGCGTGAGAAACACCTACGGTGTGAGTGGACTAACACAGTCGAACGTGCATTTGCCTTACCAGGTGGGCAGTTTAAGCAGCAGATTTTGCCGTTCCAGTACTCCCCATCTCTGCAGATGGCTTCATGCCGGGTCCAGATGCTTTGCGAGTCTTGGCCACCCCGAGGAAACGTGGCAGTGGATGCAAAAGACCAAATCAACACAAAAATGACCTAAGGGAAAAGGAGAGTCCCTCTTCAGCCAATGAAATAAAACAGAGAGGTAACCAACCATTGCTAAGTATTCATTCAGTGTCCTTTCTAATATTAAAACTACATGACTGACGCAGAAGCACGATGACGGTCGACTGGTTAGCACGTCTGTGTCACAGTGCAGAGTTTGATCCCGGTTCTGGCCTTCCTGTGTCCTTGTTTGTCTATGTGTGCCCTGAGATTGGCTGGCAGCCGGTTCAGGGTGTACCCCGCCGACTGCCCGTAGACAGCTGGGATAGGTTCCAGCACGCCCGCGACCCTTGTGAGGTTAAGTGGATTCGAAAACGTATGGATGGATGATCAACATAGAGTAATGACTGAAAATATTCATATTTCTAGTCATATAAAACCCAAACAAAAAAGTTAATCAAGTAGCTGTCTTTGTGAGACATGCGCATGGGTATGCTGGTGCCTATTTCAGCCAGTGGCATGCGCTGAAGGCCTTCAAAAGCACTGAGATGCAATACAAACTTTGTAAAATATTGTATACATTTATTTCCAAGTCTTTTGTCTCCATTTTATAACGTGTCTTGGCTGTGCAGATGAATTAAAGTCGTTTCTGGGTTATCATGCATGCATGCATATATATATATATATATATATATATATATATATATATATATACACACACACACATACACACTGTATATTTTTTTTTGTCCAATCTGATTTCCGCTTCTACTGTATGTGTTTCTATGCCAATGTAAACTTCCCAACAGCTTCGGACTCAGGAATGCCGGCCCCGTACAAACAACATGATCGATTTTTTTTTTCTCTCCTTCAAGCTTTCGGATTCAAAAAACAGAGCCTGCTTGAAGGTGTCAGGGAATATCAGCATTTTTCTGCCCTCCGATTGGTCCAGATATACTTTAGTGGGATTCAGTACATGAAGCCAGGACAAGGCAGACGTTTCAAAAAAGAAAAAGAAAAAAAGAAAATGTTGACATTGTGAGGATAAGTCAAACACCTGAAGCTGGCTTGCTTATTGACCGGGTAAAGCATTTATTTTCACAGCGGCAACAACTACGTAGGTGAATACTGTTCGCAAAAGAGGATGGAAATGGTCTATAAATAATGAGCGAGTACGATGCATTTAATTGAATGTTTGTTTTTTTTTAATTCGTTTCCCAGCTGGCTTTGGGTGAGACGGAGTACTCTTGGGACTGGTCACCAGAAAAAACAAAACAAAACAAAAAAAAACAATCACATGGCACCTATACTGTCGACTAGGGGTCACGAAGGACCCTATAAGTGGCCTGCAAGCCTGTTCCAAAAACAGATGCCAATGATGGGACATTGTTATTTTTTCACAGTGTTTTACAAGTGATCATTTGACCATGGTTAAACTGGCAGAGATTTATAAGGAAAAAAAAAAAAGTTTTCCTGCACATTAAAAACAAAACAAAAAAAAAATATCCTAGAGCTGTAAAAGTCGTTATTGTCACCAATTTCAAAACAATGGAATACTAGGGAGCCATCTAATTATATTTAAGAAAGATCTCCGCCGTTTATTTCAAGTGCATGAGCAATTAAAAGTTGTGCTTATAATAGGTGTAAAAGTGTTATTGAAAAAATAAATGCAGTCATTCAAGTCAATCGTATGGATTAATGCAGTTTTAAATAAAATTCATACAGTATAACTGAATGCGTCAATTTTTTTCTTGCATTTATATTTGATTAGCTCATCATAGCAAGAAATTAACTGTTGGCATTTAACCCAAAAACAAACAAAGAAACAAACCTCGCCTGGAGGGCTGCACGATATTGGAAAAACATGCGACATGGATGTTGACTACAGCGATATTGATGTTATTGCAATATTTAACATGGATTACATTTTTATTATCTAATAAAAGAAGTACATGATTTACATGCAGCAAAATTAGCAAGCTCAGTGGTTTTCGCGAATTAATTGTAATTCCTCTCAATAATGTCAACTTTTGGGTGGCAATGGCATTTGGGTTTGCATGTGACTACCGGTAGTCAAATTCAGATGAAAGCATACCATTTCATAAGAAAAGGATTGCATGTCTTTGCAATATGCAAATTGCATTGGCCATTACCGTGATCCATTTTAAAAAATGTTTGTCTTGTGCAGCCTACTCCCTTTGTTGTATGGAGAGTACGTACAAGTATGGGACAAATGCTCGTCACTCGTTTACATCACGACATTTGACAGTGCATATTTTTAAAGCACATGCTTTAATCAAGGTTCTACTATGTCGGTCGAGGCTCCCAAATATCCCCGATGCTGCCATAAGGGCCAGTACAAATCTCCTTCCCCAAAAAAAAAAAAAAAAAAAAAAAACCACAAAAAAAGTTTGTTTTATTTAAAAAAAAAAAAAAAAAAAAAGTCAATTAAAAGGTATGCGTCAGGTAAAATCCCTCCATAAGGCATGGCTTGAAAAAGATATAAAGGCCAGAAAATGTTAAATTAAATATTGAATTCGATTTTACACTGAAAAAAACCCCACACAGTATAACAACATTAAATATGAAATAACCCTTGTTTGAAACTTACTGCATTCTCTTCTGAATATATGGTGGATGCTGGTTCTGGCAGCCCACAACAACAACACTAAACGAAGGACCCTATTTATAATGCAATGTATTTAGCAAACTGGATGTGAGGTATCAGGCTGAGTGACCAATTTAAGCAACACAATCCGTTCATCCTTGCGTTGCATTGATCGTTTATTTTTCCCCAGCCAAGGTGGTTTCTTGCAAAGCAAATTAAAGGCACGAGATGGGGCTGGAGATGGCTGCTGTTTTTTTATACATATACTACTACTACTACTCTGAGGTTATAATGACAGTTTTAGCATATGTCGTATGACAATTGCTAAACTCCCCGTTTTCAGTTCATGTGCACATCTCATGCCCACCTCAACCTCTGAAAATAGAACGATCACCGCAACAATGGGGATTTTATGGACATGAAGCCTTTTCCTTTCCATAGGCACTCAACTGTAGAGACAAAGCCCAACATCACTTATTGGTCAGAAAATATGACCAATCATCCAATATATCAATATTTTGGAGTTCATGTCTATCCAAAGCAAAAGTTTAAACGCCACTTGATGTCAGAAAACTGCCATCAATCTTTAGCTAAATTTGTGCAGGCAGTCATATTTTTTGCCCATCTCAACCGCTGTAAGTATTATAACAATCTTCCCAAGATTTCGGATTTTATGGACTCTAACCATTTTCCTCCCCACATGCACTCAAATAAGCGTAATGTTGTTGAATGAGGAAAACACTTAACATCCATTAAAATGCAAAGTATTTGGGTGATCATGATGAGATTTTCTGAGGTTGAAGTGGGCCTAGGTAGAAATGTCACCATAAGTTTCGGTGGCGATTTATTGCAGCTTTCTGACATTAAGCAATGTTAAGTTTTGTTTTGCTCGCGTTCAGCATTTTATACTGTCCCCATTTAAAGTAATGGTCCTGAAGAAAAAATATTGGAACTACATCATGTCATTTCATAAATGAGGCGCAAAAAGAAAGTAAACAAGGTGATTGGATTTCGATCAAAACCACTGTATTCATCCAAACATTAAAATCAAACGCGCAACACAGGTGTTCAATATAGCAATAGACATTATTGTGATATTTAAAATGTACCTAATGAAACGACACTTGAATGAGACAACGATATACGTGTGTGTGTGTGTGTGTGTGTGTGTGTGTGTGTGTGTGTGTGTGTGTGTGT